GATAAAGAAAACATTTGTGCATTCACACGAGTGGGATACAATTTGCACCGAATTTTGGGCAAATGCCTAATCGTGTGACACTGGCTTAATAAAATAATTGGGCAAAACTGAAAGAAATCATTTTAAATTTAATTACTTAGATATAACATAGTTAGTCATAAATGAAAACAGTAGTAGTTCGTTGTATTGAGAAGTAGTAGATATGATTATGCATTCTAGAAAGTATAATTCGTGAGCCTGAAGAGATTAATGCGAATACTATTTGATTCCTACCGATATTATAAATGTGAAAGTTTGTGAGTTTGACACCTGTAAAAAAGTTAAAGTCAGTTAATTAATAAGCTAAATAAAATATCACAACCATGTGATTGTCAAACGAAAGGATTAGAAATGAAAAAGTTTAATGTGGGTATAAAACGAGAGAGGTTTTAGAAAGCTTATGCCGTTTTCGTTTCTACAAAAAATTTTGCCTTCTCATTGCCCTCGTAGTATTTGTGCGTAGAGGGCAAAGGATGGTAACATTTTTCGGTTGAAACGAAAACGACACTAGTTTCCAAAATATTTTTAAAGGAGACTGCCACCTGTTTGGAAATATAAATCAATTCAGTTAGCAAATTAAATGAAATATTTTGATATGGGTGTCCAACGAGAGTTATAAGAAAGCTCTATTTCGAAAATATTTTTGAAGAGCTTTTACCTGTTCAAAAAGTTTAAATATATTTAAATAACTAGTTAGATAATATATTTTAATATGGGTACTAAACGAGATAGGTTTTAAGAAAGTTTTATCTATTACGAATATATTTTTGATGAACTTTGCCACCAGCTATTAGGAATTAAAATCAATTTAATCGAAAGTTTGAATATTTGCGTAAACTCGATATAGAGATAGGGTGCATTCCAAAATGTCAAATTACAAAGCATCAGTATCTTTTTTTCTAAACCTCAGCAGATTGTTATGCCAAATGTGCCCAACCACAGTTCCCCATTTTCAACTAGGTTGCGCAAGTTAGATTGTTTCTTCTAGCGCGGTTTAAGAATAAAAGAGACTGATGCTTTGTATTTTGATGTTCTGCAATGCACCCATAGCTTACGACCTGGATTACGATATAGCATGTTTTTTATAGGGTTGCCACCTGCTTAAAAAGTTATATTCTATTTTAATTATAAGGTCAACGAAATTTCAAAATATGGATATTAAACGGATGAAGTTAAAAAAAGCTTTATTACGAAAACATACTTAAGATAACTGGCACCAGCGCTACGGAAAGATTTCTCTGAAAAATCGTCAATTTATTCCAAAAAAACCGCCATTTCGGCAAAAAAAGTCAAATTTTACTTTACTATACTTTTTAACCCAAGAAGGCTCTTCTAATTTTTATATGCTAAGGCCCGTGTTCGTCGAATCGACGACGCCTATTTTGATTTGTTCTTTAGGCCTTCCGACGTAAAATAAATTCGTTTTTTCTTAAATGCATTTTATTAGATGCTTTATTTCTTGTATGTATACGATTATTATTTTCAGTTTTTTTTTACATTTTTTTTAACTTATACATAAATGAAATAAACCAATAAACTTTTTTTTAAGTCAAGTTAAGTATCGGCTATTTGAGATCACTGAATAAAGTAACTAAAAGCACTTTTTTTTAAGTGTAATAAACTTCAAAATAAATTTAAAAAACTATAGAACAAACTTAATTGTTTAGGTAAAAATCGTTATTTTAAACAAGAGACACACACGTCAATCTTATAGCGATTCTACAATAGCGCAGTGGCAGTGGCAGTGACAGTTTTTAACACGCAGTAACAGTTCGAAAAACTGCCACTGCCACTGCGCTATTGTAGAATCGCTATTATGCTCACCGCGTATGCTTTTTCTGCGATTTGCACAGTAACGCTAGGCGCACATTGCATCCGATAGACCGACCGGTTTCGGCCGGACAATTTGACCGTTCGAACTGATGCGCACACTTAACCAGATTATTTGCCGACCGTATTTGTACGCACAAATGTAGTTTTCATTTAAATTTTGTGGGCAGTGAAATAGTTTGATAAATTTTAATTGTTATACTCTAAACATGTGGTTTTATATATAATTTTTTTGTTTTGCACCCAATAAGTTAATTTTTCGCAGTCCATTTTGGTACTTTTCACCTGGCATCGGACGAGAAAAACAAACATGTTTGAATTTATCGCCATTGACGGACGTCAACAGCCGATGTCGGTTCGGTTATCGGTTTATGTGTGAGAGCGCTCATATAGTCATAAGGGTTTATTCATATCGCCCGCATATAGCCGATATCGGCCGAGCACAATTCGGCCAATGCCGGCTGCGGTGTGCGCGTTATACTTCGAATCTGTTTAATGAGCTTTGCATACAAGCGATTATCTTACGCAGCGCATGAAAGGGCATGACAGCGAAGTCTGGATAATTTTGATTTTTTGATATGTGACATTTTCAAAGAGAGATGCCACTCTCATTGCTCTCATTAGTCTGTTCCAGTACCCATCAGATTTACAGGAATTACTGAGAAGTCGTTCTTGTACTTACATTGGCGCATATTCGAAACAAAGTCAATTATAAAGTTAGTTGCCGCCATTTCTTTGAAAATTATAACAAAAAGCAGCAACTAACTTTAGTGTCGACTTCATTTAAGCTATGAATATGCATTCTTCAGTTATGTTTTTCTAACTAAATGCTGGAGTACTGGAACAGACTAACTGATTACAATGAACAGCTGATTCTGGCTCGATNGTGGCACCTTGCATGTATGTATGTAAAGTGTCTTTCGCTCCTTGACTGTTTACACGGCGAATGAATTTCTAGCAATATTTCTCAATACTAAAATGCAACCGTGAGCCGCTAAAATAAACAAATTTATAAAAACAAGATAACGAAAAATAAATGGATTTAGAAAAACATATGAAATGGGTCGATACTATCGATAGTATCGATAGTCACCCTTAAGACTATCGTAAAACATCGATGGACTTGACTATCGATAGTTTGACAGCTCTAATAACCAGTGCTTTAGTCTGTTCGACAAGCTGATAACTATTGCAAATTATCACAAATTATTAGGTTTTGTCGTTCGTGTACGCAAAAAAAAACTTTCAAATTAGGAGAAATTGAGAGCGCAAAGTGACAGTTGACTTGGAGGGGAAGTTGCTAATTCCTGCTGGAAAAATTTTTACCAGCAGCAATTTGTCAGCAAGAAAAACAGCTGATCACAAACATTAGTTTATATTCTTTTTGTGTTTCTAGTTTCATGCTTTTGTATGTAAACAAAATTTGAATCAGCTGTACTAAAAACTTGCAAGTTTTTGATAATTTTGCGTTCGCATACTATTTGGGACATCTTGCAAATTTCAATCAGCTGTACTAAAAACTTGCAAGTTTTTGATAATTTTGCGTTCGCATACTATTTGGGACATCTTGCAAATTTCAATCAGCTGTACTAAAAACTTGCAAGTTTTTGATAATTTTGCGTTCGCATACTATTTGGGACATCTTGCAAATTTCAATCAGCTGTACTAAAAACTTGCAAGTTTTTGATAATTTTGCGTTCGCATACTATTTGGGACATCTTGCAAATTTCAATCAGCTGTACTAAAAACTTGCAAGTTTTTGATAATTTTGCGTTCGCATACTATTTGGGACATCTTGCAAATTTCAATCAGCTGTACTAAAAACTTGCAAGTTTTTGATAATTTTGCGTTCGCATACTTTTTGGGATATCTTGCAATTTGAGAGTTAGTTACTCGCCTGCAAATTGCTGCTGGACATTTTTCACTGGAGATCTATTCGAACAGACTATTTGTCATTCGGCCTTTATATGATTGAAAACTATAGAGCTAAAAAAAATTAAAGTAGAAATTGGCATCGTCGATTCGACGAAGAAGTGCCGTCTAGAGTTAACAATAAAAAATACAAACAAAATTGCATACGTTTCATACAATAAATATGACCACACTTTACAAAACCAAAGGGAACCCACATTCCACATGGGTTAATAAAAGTTGATTTGTAATTTTAACGATAATTTAAAACTACAATTTAAAACCCGACTGCTTTTAAATTGTTGAAGTCCACCGGCTTTAAATTTTCTAAGATTTTGATCCAGCTTCAATGTGTAACATTTGCATTTATTAACCGTTTGATAATCTTGACTGAACAAATTCCCTCTGCTATTTTTCTGTATCTTTCAAATGAGTGTGAGCAATGCAAATTGACTATTTGGTTACAATTCTATAACATATTAAATATAGCTAAAAGCACGGCTGTAGAACAAAATTTATAAATGCAAGGCTTTATTTTGGATTACGTTTTCCTTCAACAAATTTTGTACATATGTACATACCAGGGTTGCTGCGAATATTCCCATTCGCCTTCGCAACCGCGGAACTTTCGCATTAATTTTAACATTCGCATTCGCAGTAATCAATGCGGAGCTTTTGCGAATGCGAATGTTGTGCAAGTGCACCGATAAAACGTATATCTGGCAAACAAAATGACAAATTGTAGCCAATATTTTTGGCTGTGGTCGTTGGTGTCAAATGTCATATTTATCAACATTGATAAAAATATCTTTAATCTTATTATTTCTTAAGCTATACAACAGAGCAGTTCTACAAGTTCCCACTTCTACTTGACCTTTTACGTACGTCAAAGAGAACACAGTCCTTTTAATAATATATTTTTTTGTTTTCTCTTCTTTAAATACCTGCATTTCTTTCTTTATTATGATTTTTTTACCAATCTTAAAAAAGCAACTACTAGACATAAAAGAAGAAAGTGTGCACTGTAATTTTAAACCAAAGTGTCGTGCTTTGCTCTTTATGTTACATATCGACACCTGAAATGCAAAAAGACGTAACAAACATCGTCGCTGAAATACAAAAAGTCGTATCTATTAAAAAATTCAAAATTAAGTTTATGATTGATATGATGGATTTCATCGAATTCCAACTCCCACATCAGTTATGGAGTTGTTACGTCTTTTTGCATTTCAGGTGACGATATACATATTCGTTTCAATCACTTCAAATGGGGCTCTTTGGAGAACTTATTTTAAGGAAAAATTTTAAAAACAGTAATTTTGTTTACTTGTCGGGCAATATTTTTTTCATAAATAAATATGTACATTGGATACTTGCCTAAAGGCCTCTGTGGTAAAACTCTCCCCCTACGTCTCCTTTCTTTGCTATTTAAAGTGAAAGATTATTCACATTCGCAACATCCCTAATACATACATATGTATGACAAACTCATATTAAAAGCAGGAAATTGGTTCCAATTTATTGTAAAAATGTAGGTTAAATTCAGAAAGGAGCATAAAATAAGGAATTTATATCTTAGTTACATATAATAAAACGGAAATCAACTATTGTTTAAAGTTATTTTATGATTAATCCAACATGTCACGGTCCGGCCTTGTCCAATGTCTGTGGTTTTGCATTTCGTTTAAGTCGCCTTGAAGTCAGTTTATCTGTGGTCATAAGCAATAACCGTCTAAGTCGACTTAAGAAATATTTGAGTTATATATGCTATCGTATTCTGCAACTACTGCTCCATGCGTATGTGAAATCCCCATCTCGCCAGCTAGACTATTTAAAAAGTTATAGACGAAAATATTTTTGTTTCCCCATAAAAAAATCGTGCCCTTCTCCGGTGCAAAATGTTTTTCATGTTACACTCAACCCTGTAAAAAGGTATGTTTTTGTTTTCTTGTCCATGTCTAGCTCACGCATTTCATAATTGTGTCGTTTTAAACAACCATCTGATTTTCAGGGCAACCATCTCCCCTGACAAAGCTTCACAGGGCAAAGAATGTGCCTTTTTCGCCTTACAAGAGTGTGACACTTTATGAAACGAACACATAATTTTCTCACCCTTTGCGTTTAATTTTGAATCAAACACGAAAAGAGAAAGGGGCAATCAAAAGGCAAAAGGTGGAAACGAAATCACCACACACATCACCAATCACATTACAATCCAAATGTCCATTCCCACGACAGCCGGTTCTACGTACCGGAATGACTCGGGTTTTACCCGACCAAGGGCTGTTGTTTCGGCGATCTAACCCCGTTTAGCTCGGCGAAATCCATCAAACGTTGCTCGATCCTAGGGCTACACCTTCTCCGCACCCTTCTGCTCGGGGCTGGCATACAGTCAAACCCAGGGCCAGAAATCTACACCTGCTGCGTATGCCAGAGACGACTGCATACAAACTCCACCTCGGTCAGGTGCAATGCCTGTGACGGGTGGAGTCACCCCCGTAACTGCTCGGGCCTGCGTATGCACCGGCAATGGACCACGTCGTTCGTGGTCCCATGCTGTGCGAATCGGACGGCCTCCACGGCAAACCACCACTCGCCTGGGCAGCACACAATCAACACACCCACACCCCAACTCAACACAACAATAGACACACAAATAAACACAATAGCACCCACAAAGCGTTCATCACGCACCACATCGTGCAGTATCACGGTGGAGAGAATACAGAGGTGGCGCCGATGACGATACCGCTACTCGGCTCTCAGTGATTTTGACAGAATCAGCTGTTTTGGTGACGTCATAGTAGAGAAGACAGCAGTAGTGATGTGCTGAGTGAATACTTTTAAGTACGATACTAGGTACCGAAACATTTAGGTTTCGAATAAAAGCGCACATAGGCCAAAAATATGGAAAAAACGCCTAACAAAACCCGAATGTAAGAGCCAATAGAGCATTTTTACTGATTCAAATGAAAGATGTATATATGTCGGTTCGATGCCATAATACAGAGAAACCCTTACTTGTTTGAAGCATTTTTGTTCCAGCTGAATCGGACGATATCATTTTTGTAGGCCTGGGACAGATTCTGTAACCAGTTAACGACAATTTTCGAATAGGTATCGGTTTTGTCGACGTTTGATATCAAATATTTGTAAGTCAACAAGTGCGATATCGATCCGAAACTTGTCGCTAACTGGCTACAGAATCTCTCCCCTGAAAGGCTTCTTCATCCGTCAAAGCATTTTTCTTGAACCTTGGATCGACTAAGGTTAAAACTGATAAAATAATATTTTTCTGTGGCGATAAGTTCAAGTGTTTTAGCCGATATCATATAAATTAGTAATGAAAGTTTTTTCTAAACCTGAAATGCATATAATGGCGAGGGTTTAATGTAAATAATCGGTATCGGATACCGAAAAGGAAGTATAGGGTACCGAAATCTTTTTTAAGTATTGGGTACCGAGTATTGGGGACAATTCAGCACATCACTAGTCGCCCTCATTCTCGCCGCTCTCAGTTGTCAACTCTACGATGACGTCACGCTAAAATTACTCTCACGAATTCTGCTGCAATCGGCGCAATCTTGTATTCTATCATTCTTGGTGCAGTATTGTCTCATTGAAGCAGACATCGACCGCAGAGATACCATCCTAGAATGTCAGGGTATTGCTATCCGGTCAGGCGATGTTGGACTCGAAATATTTAACGTTTACATACCCCCTGTCACCAGCTGCCCGGCAGGATATCACCCTGNATAATGGTGGAGGTTTAGCGTTCATCACGCACCACACCGTGCAGTATCGTCTCATTGAAGCAGACATCGACCGCAGGGATACCATCCTAGAATGTCAGGGTATTGCTATCCGGTCAGGCGATGTTGAGCTCGAAATATTTAACGTATACATACCCCCTGTCACCAGCTGCCCGGCAGGATATCACCCTGAAATAGGTGCGCTACTCAGAGGTGAAAACCGTATGGTAGTTGGTGACTTTAACGCGCACCACGATCTTTGGCACTCAAGCCTGTCAAATGATCGTAGGGGAATACATCTGGCTGAGCAGATAGACGATTCGACATTCCGCACAATGAACGACGACACACTCACCAGGATTATGGGCAGCTGCTGCAGCTCCCCAGATCTAACAATTTTCAGCGCTGNGAGGTGAAAACCGTATGGTAGTTGGTGACTTTAACGCGCACCACGATCTTTGGCACTCAAGCCTGTCAAATGATCGTAGGGGAATACATCTGGCTGAGCAGATAGACGATTCGACATTCCGCACAATGAACGACGACACACTCACCAGGATTATGGGCAGCTGCTGCAGCTCGCCAGATCTAACAATTTTCAGCGCTTGCGCGTATCTTGGCGACCTATGCTGACTCTAGCATCAGACCATCTGTCCATAGTCATCTCGACTAATAAACCTGCCGACTTTGCTTCCGTGGATCACCGGACTTATGTCAGCTTTTCCAAAGCTGACTGGAAAGGCTTCACGGAAGTTACTGAGGGCGCCTTCACTGCACTACCCATACCAACCGACGTTAATGTAGGTGAACGTAAGTTCCGCAGGGTTGTCACGAGTGTTGCCGCTCCGTCCCAAGAAAATGTATCACCGACCAAGCCAAAAATGTATCTAAATGTATCCATTTTTCTTCTTTTACGTATCCATCTCATAATTTGTAAGAAAACCAAACATTTTCAAGAAAAAGACATAATTTAACCCATCCTAATATTTTTTATGCATAAGTATTTTGTAAANAGATCTTACTTAAAGCATCTTTTTTAGCTAACTAAACAATTGCGCCTTACACTGCTTTGGTGAGATCTCTTCATATGTTCATTGCTTCGTTCACAAAAAATAAAATGCTCTAATTTCACGCTTAAGTAGCGATTTTTAAAACATTTAAAAAACGTCATTAATGAAAATCGAGGTTTTAACGAAAAAAAACTTTATAGAAAATATAAAATTTTGGCCTATTTAAAAAAGTATCCACATTTATACTGATCGGAAAAAATAAGTATCCCGCAAAAATTCGCCTAAAATGTAACCAATTGGATCTCTTTAGATCCAAGCGGCATCCCTGCTTGTCTCCGCTGCTGCAGCTCGCTTCATCCCAGCAGGATGTATTAAGGACCCACGTCCGAATTTTCCTGCCGAAGCGGCTGTTCTAGCTGATGAGCGCGACAACCTTCGTCAGGCCGATCCCGGAAATCCCCGTATTAGGGATCTCAATTCGGAGATTCGGCAACTTGTGAACGTACATAAGCGGAAGAAATGGGAAGAGCATCTGAAGACCTGCAACTTCGCCTCTGGTGTGAGCAAGCTTTGGTCAACCGTGAGGTCGTTGTCCAACCCGACGAAGCGCGACGACAGAGTCGAGATAGACTTTGGTGACCACGTCGGACCCGGAGAGATGTGCGAGCAATTTTAGCAGCAGTTCATTCTGCATCCTCCGGTGGATAAAGCCAAACGTTGAGTGAGCAGAAGGCTGCACAAAATGCCAAAACTTAGTGCGCCTCTTGTTTTCACCAGCGGTGGGGTAAGGGTAGTCATCGGAAAGGCGAAAGCCTCCAAAGCCATTGGACCCGACGGAATATGCATGTTGATGCTGAAAAATTTTGGTCCTGCGGGAGTAGCGTACCTAACGGGGGTCCTCAACCTGTCTATGACCACTCTCGTCATTCCAGCATTCCAGACATCTGGAAAATAGGGAGAGTGGTTCCACTGCTCAAACCGGTGAAACCAGCCAACAAAGGAGAGTCTTTTCGCCCGATAACTCTCCTCTCCCCGGTAGCGAAGACACTCGAGGCCCTGCTGCTCCCGTACTTTACGAACCACCTGACCCCAGCGAAACATCAACATGGGTTCCGTAAAGTGCATAGCACAACAACAGCACTTAACGCCATAAACACTCAGATAACTCGTGGCCTAACCCGAAACCGACCTTGTGAGAGAACTATTCTAGTAGCGTTGGACCTGTCAAGGCGTTCGACACTGTCAGCCATTCAACGCTACTAGAAGATATAGAGTGGCCCGAACGGGGCTTAGTAGCCGCTCCAACAACAACAAAAAAATCCAAATGTCTAAAACGTTTTTTCTCGAATTCAGGTTTTTCGACTTAGGCGGTTATTGCTTATGACCTCAGATATATTGAAAAAAAAGGACTCACATCACACTTTTGTAGGTATGTACTTTTTGATTCGTTTGGATCGATTTCCAGAGGAACTCGTCTTCCCTGCTCAAAGTGGTTAAGTGCGTCGGTCAACTCTTTTGATGTCAACTTCTTTTGAGTAGGTGTCACCTGATCTGTGTTGTGACGAATACTACGGCAACGCGAAGCGAACAACGGGAAATAGGCAGAATGACGCAGAATAATCCACAAAGAGAAACGTCAAGTTGGGTGAACACTGCGAACACCGAGAGAAAGAGAATGAGCGATAAACTTCAGAACGTACTAGATTTGCCATCGAGCGCAGGTATATAAGGGCGCCGCCACAGTGAAGTCAGGGGGTTACAAGTCAGCAAGCAACAAGTTAAGTAAGCAGAGAAGTGAGTTGCGAATAAGCAAGCTATAAGTTTAATTGTGTTAACAAGTTTAGTAAAGCGTTGTTATTGCTTTAACAAGTATTGTAAAGTGTTTTTACTGTATTAGCGAATATTGTAAATTGTTTGTTTACAATAAAGTTAATTGTACTACAATTTGGTCATCGTTAGCATTTATTTAACAATCCAGCGATACGAACCGAGAGATTTGGGAAACCCGGACGAGGTTCCGAGGATAATCGTAACAATTGGTGTCAGAAGTGGGATTGTTAAATAAATCCCGAAGGAGAAACTACTAAAAATGGCGAAAATTCAGGACTTAAAAATTGAGGAGCTGAAACAGGAGTTGGAAAAGCGTAATTTGGCCACCTCCGGAAGGAAAGTGGAATTGTTATCCCGGTTGCGAGAGGCTATGGAAGCTGAAGGCATCGACGTGGACAAATACAACTTCCAGGGTAAACCCGACGATGCATCCGCAAACGACGGACAGAAGGATTAGGCTGCATGTTCGTCGAAGGATGTGCAT